ACCACGCAAAAAGTTTTGTCTAGGGGCAGGTAATACAGGCAAAAAAGGCCTTTTCTATGTTCTCTCATGTACAAAAATAATAATGATGATGTTTCAAGCACTTTCTGTTTGGCTCTAAGGATAGAGTCATCTATTAGCTCATTTAACACTCACATTAGCATTATGAAAAAAAATTCATTATTTTCCCACGTTTACTGATATTTAAGAGGGGCTCAGAGCAGAGAATCCCTTTTAAGTCCCAGAAAGCTCTTAGTAGACTTGGACTCAAATTCTAGTCTGTCACTGGGGGTAGCCATAAGGCATAGTTTTAAAATGCTAGGCTCAGCCAGATGCCAGTGACTCATGCTTGTAATCCTAGCTACTCAGGATGCTAGGATCTGAGGATCTGGGTATCAAAGCCAGCCAGGGCAGAAAAGCCTGTGTGACTCTTATTTTCAACGAATCACTCAAAATCCAGAAGTGATGGAAGTGGTAGAACATTAGCCTTGAGTAGAAGAGCTCAAGGACAGCACTCAGGCCTGAGTACAAGCCCCACACCACTAAAAAACAAAAGTAAAAATAAAATGAAGTAAAATGCTCTTTACTCAGCTTTGTGCATTTTCTTTTTGGGTTATTCCAACTCATCTGCTCTTTATATAGAATGTTTTTTCTTTGGTTACTTGTCTCAATAAACACTTTTACCAAAACATTGAAACTTAGGAAAACTAAGATTTTTACATGGAAAAATAAGGGAGAAAAGTGTGGCTTCGTGGATGGTTGAGAGTCTAGAAATGAGAGCATGTCACATAATATATGTTTTGGTAATTAATAAGAAAAATTTAGGACCTTTTATTTTGCATATTATTTTTAATGCACTTAAAGAAACACATAGAAATTAAATCTGCTGCATATAGCCACATATACAAAGGACATGGGCTTAATAACATAGCCAGCATAATACCACAAGTTGAAAATGCTTCATTCAGTAGCTGCAAATTATATATCTATACCTATATATATTACTTTCTTAAATAAACAGATTTGTTTCACTAATATATTAAATCACACAATTAATGACCTTATATGGTCCTGTTGATATATTCGCCATTCTTGCTTGGCCTGAGGAGTGTGTGTTCCAATCTCATTACTCTGCATGGCCGGTGTCATGTTTGATTTCCTCAACTTTTGGCACACTATCAAAGACAAAAAAGCCTCCTGTGGTTATTGTTAGATGTTAAATTGCTGTAACTCTCCTTTGTATTGGATGGAATAACATATCAGACACTAATCACAGGTTTTCTGAGGAAATTATGCCTTAACCAGAATCAAATTCCAATTTGGAGCTGGCAACATTAATTTTTTGTTTTTGTTTTTATGTCTGTTTCTTATGTATCAAACTAAACTCTTGGTATTGTGTGTGTTTGTGTGTGTGTTAAAATTGGAGTTACTATGAAGGTGGTCAGATTTCTGTTTTGATACTGGAAGAGAATATGAAAGTGGCTACTAGGTCAGAAATGTCACCATCATGAAGTTGGTAAGTGGAATAATGCAAGAGTATGCTGTACTGATAAAAAGAATATTTTAGGTTGCATTCTGCAGTGACTTTGCTTTAAGATGAACAACAATGAAAATGTTCATTTTTATTTACTTTTCCCCCCTCTTAAAAAAAAGAATACTTAAAACAATACAAACATTTTTGGTTGTTGTCAGATTTTTCTCATAGTATTTTTTAGATGTTTCTCATGTTGATATAAATCTAAAAAATCTTAGGATGTTTTAACCATATGTTCAGGACTCCAAGTCTGTATTTACCTGTGAATGAAGGAAAATATTCACATTGAATATTAACATCAGAGGGTAGAGTGAATTTCGGAGGCAAATTCTAAACCTGAGTGAGCATGAAAACACCAACATGTTTATTTCAATTAAATCTATTGAACTGATTTCCTGGCGCATATTTTGTAAATGTCAGCATCAAAAAGAATTCAAAGAAAAGGATTAAACTCTTCTTTCAGTTGTTTTCTTATGATTGCTTAACATTTTTTGGAATTTCTTTGTTTTCTTTATTTTTTAAATTTGTTTGTATCGTAAAGATGCTGTACAGAAGGGTTACAATTACACGAGTTAAGGTAATGAGTACATTTCCTATCGAGCATTGTTACTCCCTCCTTTGTTTTCCCCCTACCATCCCTTCCCTCCCCACTTCCCCAACTCCTCCTGTTTAATATTTTTAAACTTAAAAAAAAATCTGTGAGACTCTTATCTACCCCCCACCCCGGTCAAAAAAACCCAACAAATGCTGGAAGTGGAGCTGTGGCTCATGTGGTAGAGAACTAGCCTTTAGCAAAAAAGCTGAGCATCAGAGCCCAGGCCTCCAGTTCAGACTGGCACACACACACACACACACACACACACACACACACACACACACACACACACACACACATTCCTGCCTTGTAATTCTTGCTTTAAAAGCTATGATTAATGGTATGAATGACGTCTGTTTTCCTAAAACACATGAGAGGTATATTTGCAATACTAGAGGGGCTATTGCTCCATAAGCAGTGTAGTGGCAGACAAATTTACTAAAAAACCACCCAAACAACAAATAAACAAAATAACTGATATCAGGGAATCTTTTTTTCCTCAGAGATGACTTAGCACATTCAATTGAATTCTCCTAACAAAAGTGAAGGCCAGGAGTTAGGTATTTCTATGTAGTTTGGTGGTGGATGACTACAAATTTGAAGGCCAAATTTCACATTGATATCTAAAGCAGAATATAGTCCCATCTATTTTACATATTAATTATACAAATCCCATATTATTCATACATTTAAAGAAAAGTATACTTGCTTTTACATATGAGCTTTTTTCCTTGATACTTTTACATTTGCTAAGCATTTAAATGTTTTAGAAATGAACACTTAAATCATTATATTCAAACAATTAGATATTAAATAATCATACATTTGACTGCCTAGAACATGCAGACAAGCTTTAGAGATTTTGTGGAGTTGTTTGAGGCAACCCTATGATAACCACTTACTATTTCAGAATGAATTTTGAATAATGCTTTAAAGTTGTTACATTCATTATGTGACTGTATATATACATTCATATGTGAATCTATTTGTCTTATTTAATGTTATTCAAAGAAATTCTGATCAAACATGGTCATGTTAAGTTGTTCAAATAGCAAACACTTTGTAACAATTTGATATTTCTGATTTTGGTTCCAAAATAAGGAGGATTTGCAGATTAAAGCCATGGCAGTAATAGACCATGATTTGCCTTTGCATAATTGCTTTTTATCTTGCCCTTCAAAAAGTTACTTGGTTCTCATGTGAATGGAGACCTAAGACTTAATTGATGTGTGAGATGTAATTATTTTAGGCAGTTTTAAAACCTAACCAAGTATTTCAAAGAGGAAATTTGTGCTAGGCAGCCACATTCTCAGGGAGTTTTTTGGTTTCTTGAGTAGGATGGACAGAATTCCTAATTTAAGGGAAGATACCATAAGGAATAAAGTCTGGAAGATAAATTCTACATGTACAGATATTCCTTGTTTTGTTATAGATCTCAGGAAAATATATGCATGCATGTGTGTGCGTAATTTCTTCTTGTAAGAAAATGAGTGTTTTTTTTAGATCATTGCCTCATTTCTTTCCATAATAATTAGATAATTTGGAATTATCTAAACAGAGAAAAGAAGAGGACTTTGTGTATAAATGTGTGGTCTATGAATATTCCTGCTCACATGGTGTTAGCTCACACATTTTTAAACTACGCAGCAGCTTCCTCCCTCTCCAACAGTTGACTTGCCTTCCTATGTCTTGTCTGACTTACTTATGTATAAATTATTATTTGTCAACTACATTTTGTTTTATAACCCTTATAACTTTTTTCCCTAAGAATTTGCACTTGAAATATATTCTGATCATTTCTCCTGGTCCTTGCTCATTTTCTAGTTAAGAGAGAAGGGGAAGATGCAATATAGTTGGTACAGTTAATGTCTACAACTTTTGCCTTCAACTATAGGGGAGAGAAGCTGCCCTTGGAAATGGGAGGTGCTCTTGTCTGATTTCATACCATGAATCACTGGAGTTCTTGCCTGAAACAAAAGCAGCAAGTTTCAGAGGTAAATGTGACTCTTCCTTTCTGCATTAGAAGGCATGGTTAGTGTCTTACATTTTCAAATGTAAATTTTTAAAAAATCTATGAAAAATAAAATGATAATGATATTAGCTTCATATTTAAAATATGTAATAGTCAAAATGGAATAATTACTTTTTGGTCACTCATAGGAAAAAATTAATCAGGTTGATGACATGGATTCCTACTTAATGGTTTGTCTAGATTTCCTTTTCAGTTAAATATCTTGTATGAAATCTTGAAACCTCTGAAGGTCTTTATTCTATGAGTTCTCTTGCATAATGGTTTTCATTATTTGCTCCTTTTGGAGGTTAGTTTTCTCTTTTTGTAGGAAAATGAATCATTTTACTTTTTATTTTAGAGCAGGAGAATTTTTTTTATGGACTGTCTTGTTTCCTTCCACCCAGAGTATTATGTTAAGTAGTTTTATTCTTTTGGGGGAAAAATGTCATTTTTAGTGTCACAAAAATATTGCAATTTTTAACTGACAGAAATTGAACATATTACAAATATATTTCATATATATTTTTTGTTGCATACAATAATCGAGTTTTTTTTTTTTTTTGTTGGTCGTGGGGCTTGAACTCTGGGCCTGGGCGATGTCCCTCAGCTCTTCAGCTCAAGGCCAGCGCTCTATCACTTGAGCTACAGCACCACTTCCTCGAGTTTTTTTAAGAATAAATTTAAAACTTGTATCATTTTGGGGGAGGTGGGAGCTAGCAGTGTTTTTGTTATATTTCTATATTACTTTTGTCCAGTCTAAGCCTAACTGCCTAAATGTTGCTCCTTTCTAAAGAGTATCTAGGACAGGATGAAAACAGGTAAAAATGAGGATCTACAGCAATCTTTCACTTCTGGAAATGGATTTAAGAATATTCATCCACAGAGGTATGGGGGGAGCTTATGAAACTTGAAGTGGTGGAGGCAGATTTGGAATTCCTGCGGGAACAGCCATTGAAGCCTGGGTCTCCTGGGATTGCTCTCTTCTTCCGGCTGGATTTGATGTTTTCTCCATCACTGGGGTCAAACACCACTGTCATGGACTCCATCCGGGTCACGGTGTACAGGCTGCTTTGCCGAGTTGGATGAAACCTGGTGGTCTTGAGTTCCAGCTCATCATAGCTGGACACTTGGATGAAAGGACACCAGCGAAGCGCTCTTTTAAATCCAGCTCTGAATCTGAGAAGCAGACCACAAGTAGAAAAAAGAAAAATCATCTTGCAAATGGAAATTTCCCTCAGCAACCACAGAAAATCTTACTTAATGCCATTACACCATTTTGTAAAACTTGATTTTCTACTCACACTTAGAATCGATTCCACCTGTGTCAGTTCTCTAAATTTTGGTTGAAAAGGAATCTTAATTTCCCATTGAAGAGAAATGTGTCATCAATTAGCAAAAGCATAGCATAAGGTTATCAGTATGACCGCTTTTTACAATAGTTTTATACATTTACAGGGGCATAATTGCATTAAACTGCCCAGTTAAGGCACTTAAAATGGCATATGGTATTTCAAAATAGCTTCTCCACAAATAATGACACATGTATAAATTAAAGTCTCATTTGATTGCAGAATTAATGGTTAACTTAAATGGTGTTTAATTTAATCATATATGTGAGCATAAAATCCTTATCCTTATAAATCATTGATTGAAGCTGATTATATACATGTGCATTGCTTGTGCAATGCCTTAAATTGAGGTATGGCCTATGCAATTGGTGAAATAGAATAGGAGGTAATTCGGTATTTAACAAATTTAAGGCACAGTATGGGAGAGCCCTAATTGGATAGACACTTTATGATTTAGAATATGCAATTACTTACATTTCTATTGGTGCTCAAAACATACTAGTTTAATTAAGGGAATTATCAACCTTAATGTAATTTAACTCTCCCCCTCCATGTGATGAATGTACAAAGAAGATAGGCAAACCACATTCTACCTTCATTCTGTCTTTGACTATAAGTGTATCTACCTTTAAAAATCTATACAAACATCTTTTCCTTGTCTGCTCCACAGAGATCCTGGCAGTAGCTGTGCTGGTCATGCCTGCACAGGGCCAGGCGGGAGACTGTGGTTCTCATTCTCCGTGCTGTACAGCAGTCTGATTTGAAGTCTAATGTGTAAGATGCCTTTTCTAAAATAGTACTCTCACACAAACCACCATCTCCCTCTTACTCAAATGACCTCTACATTTCTATGAAGAAATTTCATTTCCCTGAGAATCTGAGCAGATTTTCCTGTCAACACCTCTGGTGAGGATGGCATTTCTTTATCTTTGGCAGGTAAAATTCTGAAGACTTTGGTGGGAGAGGTTGGTCAGTATAAAAAGGACCCTCAGAGTCTCTAAGAATACTGCATTGAACATTAAGCTTTAAGGTAGAACATTTTGTGAAGGAGGAGGAGGTGTTAAAAACTCCCAATCTTTCCATTCCTCTTGGTGATTTTTTTCTCATCCCCCTGTATTTCTGATTTCTAAATTAGCACCAAGAAACTAGAACAACATGTGCTCCCAATGAAGTCTGGGGATAACAACTAGCTTGTATTTGGTACCTTTGTTTTACCTCTTATTCAGACAGCAGTAGATGATCGGGTTGTACATGGTGGAACTCATTGCCAGCCAAAAACTAGCCAGGTAGACTTGCTGGATATACTTCCACCTATTTAACTGCTGATAGACTGCAGTAATAATGAAGTAAATATGATAGGGCAGCCAGCAGATAGCAAATGTCACCACCACAATGATCATCATCTTTACAACCTACAAAGAAAGAAAGAAACCATTTATGCCAAGTTATCAAACAATTACAGATCATGATTTCATTGCCTTACTGATAATCCCATTTTTCTTTTTATCAATGTAGGTAAGTGTATAAAATATACAGTATGCCTGAGGAAAAGTTAATATTAAAAATAGTAAAGGTTAATATATTAACATATGTTATATATTACAAAAATGTATGGTGTTGTAACTATTCTATTTCAACCTATCCAAGTGAGTGAATGACACTACTCAAACACAAATTCTTATGTTTTAAGTGCTCTAAAGAAATTGTTTACAAGGGTCCAGAAAGGTCTGATTGAAGAGAGAATGAGAAGCTAGGATTTGGCTGTGCTTACTTGTCCTGTATAATAGTAGAGATATTATACGTAGGGAAACTTAGTCACCATTGAAATAAGAATATCGTTTTTCAAGACTGGGCTGATTTTTCATTATGTAGCACAGTCTTGCCATAGCTTAAGCCTATTCTAATTTCTTTTTTTTTTTTTTTTT